GAGCTGGAACAGATTCTAAATGGCACTGTAGATTTGTGGAACCTCTTCTATAGAAGAGGTTAGAACTGACAGGAACCCACCCTTGGTGCAATGTTATAGTGCATATACAAAAATTTACAACATCAATCTACCATGCTGTTTTCATCCTTCTGCCCTCTTGTTTATATGCTGCTTTGTACTTAATTCTAGAATATTTAGAAGACTTTTTTCTTTAAGAAGTAACAGTCTCCTGTAATTTATTACTATTTTTAATCCTTAAGAAAGACTTTCATACATGTGGAAGAAATAGTGTTCTTTTGAATTCTTATTTAATTTGAATTAATTATAATTAATCTTTATTATATTTGACAAGTACAAATGGGAATCTTTTGTATTTATCTTTCATATTAATTTTCATATCTGCTCACATAATGAGCAACATATAAAGCCGTTATATGAATGCACATGCTGATTTCCTTACTTTTAACTGGCAGTAAACTAATCAACACATTTGAATATAGTTTTAATATTCCCAAAGGGCCACAGCCCAGTACCGGGCCAGGTATACAGCATATAAAAATAAGTGCAGCAGAAAAACTTCCATATGTGATATTGCTTTTAATGACACATGCAGATATCCGAATGGAACAGTGTTACCTGAGATGGGATGAAGATGATTGTGTTCAACCTGTGCTTGGAAAATTCCGTATGGACACATGTTGCTGTGCTATAGGTGCTGCTTGGGGTTCAGACTGCGAAGAATGCCCCAAGCCAGGCACAAAAGAATATGAAGACTTATGCCCCAGAGGTCCAGGCTTCTCCAACCGTGGGGATATTTTAACTGGAAGGCCATTTTACAAAGGTAAAGAATAATATTTCAGATAAACTTTTATGTGCTTCATTGATATTTTTTTAAAATTCCATTACAGGGACTCATAATCCAGCAACTACAGGTTGTCCTCGACTTACAACAGTTCATTTATAACCGTTCAAAGTTACAACGGCATTGAAATAAAGTGACATTTGACACTTATGACCATTATAACATCGTGATCAAAATTCAGATGCTTGGCAGCTGTTTATGATGATTGCAGTGTCGTGGGGTCATGTGATCCCCTCTTGCAACCTTCTGACAAACGAAGTCAATGGGGAAGCCAAATTTACTTTACAACTATGATATTAACTTCACAACTGCAATGATTCATTTAACAATTATGGCAAGAAATGTCATGAAATGGGGCAAAACCCATCAAATGTCTCACTTAACAACAGAAATTTTGCACTCAATTATGGTCATAAGTCAAGGTCTACCTGTACAATTTTAACAGATACCTTTTGATAAAAAACTGAAGTCCTTATATGAAATACACAATTGTTGAAACAATCTACATAAGTCTCTTCCCCCTTTGCTGTGCTTGGAAGATCTTCTCCAAAACATATGAAATGTTATATAGAGTATATGATGCAATTATTCAAGCAAAACAAAATAAGTATTTTCTTTTTCTTTTCTTTTGAAGCAGCTACAAAGGATTGTGAATTTGGTGAGGAATGAAAGTTCTTTCCCCTAGAGATATTTTCCACTCAAAATCATATTCCAAAACCATATATTTTGTCTCTCAAATGAGAAATAGCTGAGAAAAGTGTTTTTGACTGGGAAAATAGTTAAAGAAGAAACATTTAAGCAGCTCTGCATAGCATTCCTAACAGATGTTTTTCGTTATAGATGTCAGGAAACTACTAAATACTCTTCCTTGTAAGGTCTAGTTTTACCATTGTATAATTGAAAGGAGAGTGTGGAAAGTACATCTTACCACTGTATCCAGGATGACAAAAGGTTCTTTCAAAAGTTTGAAATATGCAAGTATGCAGCCCCATACATGGCACTCAGTAGCACTTATCCGAGTCTTTATATATTGAATTGCAGCCAAAGAGATTTTGTTCAGCTTAATATATTTGTCTCTGGGTTTTTGAATCATATATAACTATAAGTAACAATAATATTTATTTATACAATCAACTCAATTATTGAGCCTAATTTTCTGTGAAGGAATGAAATTATTTGGTAAAACACATTTATAATTCCCAGACCACTGTCTGAATAATCAAGGAACCCTCTCAGAAACACAAGATTTGGCCATGTAACCTTAATCTATCCCTTGGTCCTTTATTCTTTTCCAGGCAGCATATTCAGACTTTCTTTGCCAATGCTTTCTTCCTACAGCTAAGAGGTCAAAATCACTCATTTGTCTTCTGTACCTAAAATAGCGTTAGAATTGAAGTCTCTTCACTCAAATCCAGTGCTTTAATCATTAAACCACATTGCTGTTGGTTACGATTTTGTTTGTTTTTGCCTTTTAATAATTCTTTCCTGCTAACTATGTGGACAAGCATGTGCAGTTTTCTAGGCAATATTTTGAGAAATGGTTTGTTGTACAAAAAACATTCCTTCTGTATACAGGATGTTATTATTACTTTAATTATGACTTCACAGACTTGCTTAGTAATTTAATGATTTAATTGCCTACATCAAAATAAATCTGTATCTTTTCTTATTTAATCTAAGTGACATGTTATTAACTGCCAGCCACAAAGAAGCACAATTCCTAATTTCAGACAATGATATCTTTCTTGCTCATGACATTAAAGCAAAAATGAAAGAGTTTACTGTGCATTTTGAGAAAATACGCTTTGATACAAATTCATAATGGTCTGAATTTTCTTTGGAGAATTGTTTTGTGATGGAAAGATCTACAAAATAAGTATAAGGCATCTAAATGAATGGAAACATTAAAACTGTTTATCATATATTTATAATGATTGTCCAGATATATTCCTGTGCTTTATGATGTTTTTAAGTACATTTTTCTATCTGATAAGTAACCTTTTGAACCCAAAAGTATGAATTTATTTTCTTGTTGCAGATATAAATGAATGTAAAATGTTCTCTGGCATGTGCACAAATGGCAAATGTAGAAATACAATTGGAAGCTTCAAATGTAGATGCAATAATGGATTTGCACTTGATATGGAAGAGAGAAATTGTACAGGTAAATTTGAGGGGGGATTACATATAAAGGATTGCCTTTCACTGCTTTATTAGATGAGAGACTCCATTGCTGTCATTAGATTCTCACTACTGATCATGTCTATCGATCTTGCAATAAATAAAGTTTGAAAAGTATTGATATCAACATCTGATGTTCATTAAAAAAAGTAAAACATTGTTTTTCTCAACATTCCTACAATCTAAATTTAGGTGGTACGTCATTTTGAATGGCTAAAATCACCAAATAGTAAAAATTTGAGTAGTTTGTTCCACCTTCCATTTTTCTACCAAAACTAACAAATATTTGTACACTTTTCATTTTAGAAATATTTTGAAAAAATATTTATGCAATAGCCTGCCCACAGGTGTTTAAGATCCACAATGTGGGAATTAGATGTTTGTAAGTAAGGTTGTACATGCTTTGGAAATGATTCAGAAGTGTTTTGCACCTCTCAGGTAAACAACTTGTTTGCTGTTCATTAAAGCAGGCTAACTTTTCAAACTCTCATGAGAGCATATTGCTGTAAAAGTGGGAAAGTTGGGCTGCTTTAATGAAAAGCAGAAAAGAATTCCTTCCAAATCATTTCAGCCTTAAAGGTAAAGCAACTTTTACATTCCAATAGTTGCTAGCATTCAGCCGTGGGGCCTTCTTGTCCCGTCTTCTCTCTGCAGGCCTTGTTAATTCTTTGATCTTGAACTGTTAATGAGAGAACATACAGAAGCAACAATTTTTTCTCCAGTTCTTTTGTCTCTGATAGATTATTTAACATGAAGCATGCCTATAGAAAATACTTATCTCGATCTATTTTGACATACAATGCCACAGTTTAAAAATGCTAAGCCCATTTTGCACTGTAGTCCAACATTCTGTCACTAATATACTTGGTGTGTCTTTTTAAAAATACAGGTAGTCCTCAACTTATAACAGTTCATTTAGTGACCATTCATAACGGCACTGTAAAAAGTGACATGATCATTTTTCACATCTATGGCTGTTTCAGCATGCCTATGGTCACATGATTTACTTTCGGATGCTTGACAACTGGTTCACATTTATGACAGTTGTAGGGTCCTGGAGTCATGGGATCCCCTTTTGCGACTTTCTAACAAGCAAAGTCAATGGGGAAACCAGACTGTGCTTGATAAAAAGTTATGCCGGGTATGGGACCTGGGAAGCCGAAAGGGGGTTAGGGAGGGGGGTTTAGGGGGGGGGGGGGGGGGGTGGAAATACAGTCCCAATTTTCAGAACAATAAGAATGCACTTGTATACTGTTGCTCTCTTTTCTTTTTTTTTCTTTTTTTCTTTTATTTTCTCTTTTTTCCTTTCATTTTTCTTATAAACTGAATAGATTAATGAATTGTAGTGAGGAGTAGAGGGAAAGAAGAGGGAGAAGTAAAGAGGGAGTGAGAGGGGAATGTAAGGAGGGTGAGATGGAGGGAAGGGGAGAAAGGAATGTTTGAGGGGGAAGGGAAGTAGAAGAGGGGAATGTTGGAGGGGAGAAATGAAAGTTGGAGGGGGAGAAGAAAGGGTGTATGGGGGATTGAAGTGCTATGTTGGTTTTCTATGGTGGAAGATGAGTTGTGTTCATTGATTTTCCCTTTTTTTTAAATGCACAGTATATAAGTGATTGTATAAAATGAAAATGAAAATGAAATAAACAGTTTTAAAAGAATGGGGAAACCAGATTCACTTAACTGTGTTATTAATTTAATAACAGTGATTCACTTAAGAAATGTGGCAAGAAAAGTTGTAAAATGGGGCAAAACTCGCTTAACAAACTTCTCACTTAGCAACAGAAATTTTTGGCTCCATTGTGGTCGTACATTGAGGACTACCTATACAGATCTCATCTTTTTAACTGTAAGGAGAAAAGCATAAGTAAGAATCTTGTTGACAGGAGAGCTTGAAAAGATTTCTTAAAATGCAGTTGTACTACTGTATTTAAAATAACAATAGTACTAATGTAAAAAATTGGAAAAGTTTCAGGGAGTCAAGAGAAAAGGCAGGTTATTTAAATTATCATCAACTGGCTTAGTTTGTTTAAATATGGTTTCAACCTTTCTAAATAAATCACTATCCAACGTTGTTCTGAAAGGAAAAATAATTCTTTAGCATCTAAAAATCTTAGATTTAGTTAGTGACTTTATACATCTGTGAAGAATACCATAGTTGTTTGCATTGTGGGTGGCTGCACATTTAAGTAAAGAGAAGTTTGTTCTGGAACGGTAGAAATTAAATCACCAGAGTAATGTAAAATGTGTGTGGCAAAACATGTAAATCAAGGTTTTCTTGGTATTAATACTGCTGTAGCAGTTATTTCCTTGTTTATATAATGATTGTTTTCCTTGTTTTTATAAAGATTGCATTCATAAAAATGTTCTTGCCAAACTTAACTTAAAGTTTGGAAAGAAAATGTTACCCTGAATTCTTACGCCTATTATGTATCAGGAGAATTTCCTTTTCCTCTGACATAGAGTCACCTCATCACTAGAAGAAAGGTCAATTCTCTCATTAGGGGAGCAAGGCCAATTTCCCAGTCAAGTTAAATAAAAAAATAGAGCCCCACATAAGTTTATACTCATGCTATCACATTTACCTTCCTTTCTTTTCTTTCATAATATGTAGGGAGAGATTAGAATGTCAACTGAGTAAGTCAGGAAGTGACTTTAAATGTTGTTAATGGGAGGCCTCCTGCTCTTTTTTATGTCAGAACAATGCGTGTTAAATTTTTCTACCTATTCTGCCTGCTAGATTGGGAAAAATATACTTGAAACCTTCCTTCAGTCTTAGAATTTTGATTGGCTTGTCTCACTCCTTTCCAGTCCAGCCAATTTGAGAAGTAACCATGTGCCTGCCATCCTATACATTCATTAGTAAGGATGGGCAAGCTTTCTGCCATTTTTTTTCTTCAGTTTGAAGCAAAAAAGAAAACGCAGAAAGACAAGGCTTATTTGTTGTCATACTTGCCGGTCAACTGTTCTGGACATCTCAGAGCAATGTGAAAGAGGTGCATTTCAATATCAGTCAATAAGGCCTTTGGTTTTCCTCCTGGCAGTATCTGTCTGCCTGTCTATCTGTCTATATATCCATCCGTACATGTATCCATCTACACAGAGCAAGTTATAAAATTAAAATGCATATTACAGATATGATAGAAAGTATCAAAATGTTTATGAATATCAACATAAAATCAATATAATTCTGGTTGTGGTTATTGTAAATTCAAATGTTGATTAACATTAACAGAGCTTCCAGAGTGAACACCAGTTCATGTTAAGTGCTTCCAGATTCAAAATGTAGTCTTTAAGTCTGAAGTTGAATGGCATAACATAGATCAAGACCATCCATACTGCAGACTCCACGATGTATCTTCTTGGGATATGTTAGTATTATTTTCCACAGTGCAGACAGTATCCTAGGAAGCCAGCAAGATGAACTTCTATCCACCTTATGAGAAGAAGTCATTTGCTTATAAATAATTCCAGTAGAAAGAGGGAGAAATCTGAGAAGAATGAGAAGGGATAAAAAATAATTGATTGTCAATGATTGTAGAAATTACTAGTTATAGCAGTGCATCCTTTCATTATATAAATATCATCTTCTTGTTTCAGTCATCATTCTTCCAATTAGTTTCAATAATTGTAAGGCTCCTGTTGTCTCTGCATTTGAACTGTATTATTGTCTCTGTTTTATGGACAATTAATTTATTTGATGCTTGTGTTAACAATAACATATTATTTCCTTTTTTTATTCTGGAACTAGATATTAATGAATGCCGTATCTCACCTGATCTTTGTGGAAGTGGCACTTGTGTCAACACTCCAGGAAGCTTTGAGTGTGAATGCTTTGATGGCTATGAAAGTGGATTTATGATGATGAAAAACTGTATGGGTGAGTGATGAACTTTTGCGCAGTTTTTTTCCATCTTCAAATTTTCCACATATATTGGACTGAGAATCTTACAATTGGGGTACAACAATTTTATATATACGTATTTATATACTATGCTACACTACACTACACTAACTACACAGGGTTCACCATTGGGGTACAGCAATTTTATATATACATATTTATATACTATGCTACATTACACTACACTACGCTACGCTACATTACAGGGCTCCCCAATCCCTGGCTGCGGTTCATTACCAGATCATCAGCCATTTGGAACTGAGCCATGGAAGTGGTGGGCGAGTGCGCAAGTGCACATCCCCACTTGTGCAAGTAGAGGGTCCATGCGTGCATTTATGCTCCATTAGTGGGAACAGTGGTAAGTACAATATCCACCCCTTGCTCAAAAGGAGCTGCACACATACCTGCCACCCGCATAGCTCCCCCCAACTAGGCCACAAAGGTGGAAAGGTTGGGGAACTTGGTATAGTATGGTATGGTATGGTATGGTATGGTATGGTATGGTATTCTACTATACTATGTTATACTACACTATACTATATTTGTGATGAAAAGATCTACAAAATAAATATAAGGCATACATGCATTTTAATCCTGATTGCCATTTAATTATTTTAGTTTGCTTTAGCGATATCTGCTATTTTTATTTGATGACTTGGTATACAATTCAGAGGCATGGTATTCCATAATAGTACAAAGTAAGTGCTATGGGACTAATAGAAGCCACTAACACTGAATCTAAACATAAAAGTCTTTCTCTTTCTTTTTCAGAACATAGAAATCCATTAAATTAAATTGTGGTCTAACTACAGAAAAAAGATTTTTCAGCAATACCAAAAGATCACAAACCACTTGTGAAAAGCACATGAGACTTAGCACCTATTTTGCTGCTTATAGTCTAAAACAAAACTCTAAAAAATGTGGTGGGACCAGAGGTGGGTTCCTACCGGTTCAGACTGGTTCGGCCAAACCAGTAGTGTTTTTCAAGCCTGGGTCTCTGGAACCGGCAGTGACCCAGGCCTGCCACACCTCCAAACCAGTTCTCCAGTCGGCACAGCATGTCCCCCCACCCTTTTAATGTTCCACACATGCGCAGATCTATTTTTTGGTAACCCATGTACAAAAAGAAATTCTGAGTGGCAAACAGAATAATAAAAAAAATCTGATTTCTCCACTTTGAAAACTATAATCAGTTTACCTTTAAGCTAATTCAAATTATTGCATTGTGCGCATACCGAACTGGCAGTAATGCCAGCAGCAACCCACTCCTGGATGGGACATGATCTTTTTGCACATATTAGAATATATAAAATAACTTCAGAAATAGCAGTAAAAGGAAACCTCAATACATTGGGTTTTAAAAGGATTTTGTAAGCACCAAATTACCCATATCCCTGTAATATCATTATTCTGTTGCTTCGCATGTACACTGTGACCTTCTGCACTGTAGACAAATTCCTTGTGTGTCTAAACACACTTGGTCAAATAAAGGATTTTATTATTACTAAAAAACATAGAGGGATAAGTTGTCATTGTTTTTATAAATAGAATCTTAGAATGTAATTGTTTCTTGTTGCTTCCCTATATTGGCAATTAACATATCCTTTAAAATCTTTTCAGACATAGATGAATGTGAACGTAACCCGCTTCTCTGTAGAGGTGGGAAATGCTTGAATACTGAAGGAAGCTTTCGGTGTGATTGTCCTCTTGGGCATGAATTGTCTTCATCACGTGAAGAATGTGTGGGTAAGTTTCATGAATTTATGAATAAGTTATTGTGTGAATAAATCATCTATGATGTTCAATAGCATGATATAAATTCATCCACTAATTAAAAATTGTTTCACCTGGAATATTTGGACTACCTACATATCCATCATACTGTTTCTTTTTGGGGAAAGCAGTGTTATGCAAATTTCAGAGTAGAAGAAACAAATAACAAACAAAACAAAATAAAGGCAAGATATAAAAGAAAATAAACTAACTAAATCTAGCTTACACTAACACCATTCACTATAATTTTCAATAATTTTCTATTCTTTTTTTAAACAAATTTTTTTTTATTTTTGAACATAGACAAACAAACATAAAAATAAAAAAAATCTTCCATTACAAATTGTAGAAAGTGTGTCAGTTCTAGATAAAGCTTTTAAACGTCCTCTCATATTCTCCATGTGTTGTTTATATAAAATTTATATTATCAAACTAATATATCTATATGTTTTGTTATTATTATTAATCATTATTTAACTATAGCTATTGTCACTTCATTTTATACATACTACTAGTAAACTAAATTTAGCTTAGTTTTTATTGTACATTTTCATTACATCAACCTGTATCTTTCCAGTAATAGTGCAGTCTTATACCTCTTGCCATTTGTAGCATTAATATTCTAGTTACTTTCTTAATAAATCTTTTATGAATTTCTCTTCACAATATGTTGTTCCTTTTGTATCTCATAAAAGCTCAAAGCTCTTTCCATCAGCTTATCTTTGCTTATCACCAGTGTTTCTGCCAAAATTTGTCTCCTTATCTCCATCAATTTTTCTCTCTTTTCTTCTTCTGTGCTTTGAAGTCTGGGGTAGAGTTCCAATCCATCTATCTCCCCATTCCTTATTCCGCTCTTGCCATTACCAACTACACTCACTTTGTTATCAGTATCCACAGTTTTCCTATCTCTTTACTCATTTTTTTTCTTCCATTTTTTGAACTCTGTCCTCCACATTCTTCATTTGATAAACTGACACTAAACTCCTATTTATATTGGGAAACTTAATGATTTTGGTCAAAAAAATTTAGGGATTTCTGGTTCTAGTTGCTAAGCATGCATACTATTTCTTGGAAATTTGAAAAATACTTATGCAGTTTTGCACATATCTGACACAGCTATTATTTAATATTCAGCCTTTCCATATGGAAAAAAATTCTCCTTTATATTTATTTAATTAACAAAGATAAATGACAATGTTATCAAATATTAACTAAGTATTAATAGCTTAATATTATCAAAGACACATGTATTTTCAGGGTTGATTATTCAGGAGGATCTCTAAGTAAACGTGAAGAATTTAATTTCACATATCTAATCCAAAATGTGAAGGAAGCTAAAGTGGAAAGCTGTAGCAGGTACAAATGAAAATGGTCTGACCCTGCATAATTAGGGTATCTTATGCAGACTTGAGTTTCATTACAATGAAATGGCTAAAAGCATGAAAAATATCACATTCGAAATGACATTCACTTCTGACCCAAAAAGCTTCACCAATCATAACCTCTGTGAGGTCCACCGAGATGAGGAGATCGTTCCTGCTCATACTCTCCAGAATTGCCAAAGAGAGTGCATCTTGAATTTCCTGTACGTTATATATCAATTAAGAAATTTGAGGTCAAGAATCATCCTCCAGCCCCCCCAAAGACTTTGGCACGATAAAGAGACAAGAGTAGAACCCTTGTCCTACCTGGCCTGGGGGCACAGATTAAATGGCCTGAATGTGGAGCAGGTGATGAATGGCTTGCTCCACCAGGAGTCTCTTGTGAGGATCCCTGGATATTGGACACGTGACAAAGTGGTTCGGGGGGCTGGAGCACAAGTCCAGAGCTAGGCCGAATCTGATGGTGGACCTGACCTACACGTCATTGGTGATGTTGTCCCAACAGTCCGAAAAAGCTGCCAGGTGTCCCCCTATTGCCTCTTGAATGACTTATTGGAAGAGTCCCTGAAGGACTTCCGGGGGGAGAACCTCTGGTTACTCCTGTTTGATTGGTTGGAGAATGAGGGACCCTGTCTGGGAGAAGCCTAACGTTGTGGATGGGAGTTGGAGAAACCCCTGTCCTGGCTGCAAAAGGGCTGCCTACAGTAGAAGGAGTGGCCTTGACCTTCCTGTTTCTTAATGGCAGCTTGGAGAACCTTCCTCTTATCTTTAGATTCTACTAAGAGGGGCTCCAAAGAGAAGGTTGGAGGAGTAGGCTGAAGAAGCAAGCCTCCACTTAGCCTGGGCCTCTGCTTGCCATTGCCTGAACCAAATGAGTCTGCGGGAAGAGATAGAGAAAGCAATAGATTTGGATGCAAAGTAGGCCAAGGAAGCGTCTGTGTTGTATTCCAGGGCTGCCTTTAGCTTGTTAATGTTTTTGCAAGCCCTGGAATCGCTAGGAGGAATCCTTTCCTGAAGCTGCCAAAGCCACAGAAGGGCAGAGCGGCTAAAGAAAGAGGAGGAGATTGCAGCCCGAACAGCCCACACCGCGGCTTGATGGGCCTTGAGAAGAGTCTGTTCGATCCTTTTATCCTCCGTGCGAAGCGCCTCTTTGGGAGCAGCTGAAGCCGCAATGGGAGAGGACAAGGTCAACACAGGCAAATCAATGGAAGGTACCTCAAGAGCTTTGGCGAGGTCGAGACCCACATTGTACAGATGCTTGTCCAATGTGGAGGGGAGAGGACCTGTACCTGGCAACACTCACTGTTTCTGGACCACATTGATGAATAGTCTGGGGGAGGGGATCACTTCCTTCTCCACCCTGGGTTGAGTAGAGAAAGGATCTGTAGTGTCTGTCTTGTCCGCTTCCGCCCCCTAGGGAATCTTCGGGGCTGGGATGCCTGCGATCTTTCTCACCTAGAATAGAAGATAACAAAAAACAGCTGGTTTAAACAGACCAACAAAAGAAGGGGGGTTGGGAGGGAGATCCTCATCCTCAGACAGGTCCAAATCTCTGGCTGGATGCTTCTCTTCTCCAAAAACGGACGGTTGACTGGAGGTGCCTGGATGCTTGTGAGAAATGGAGGCTGAAAGGTTCACTCTTCCCTGCACCTGGAACTGGAAGAGGAAGACCTGCGAGAAGTGGAATGAGAAGAAGATGAAGACCTGTGCTTTAGTCCCACAGCAATTCCCCGCTCAATGGCATCAGAAATGATAGCTGCCATCTCAGGTGTATAGGGTAGGGCCCTGAAGGGTGTAGCACCAGAATTGTGGGAGAAGACCTTGCCTTCAGGAGTGAGACTCCTATCCCCGTCCGACTCCTCCCCACTGTAAACCTGGGCATCTGCATACCTGGCTTCCCCAGGTTGAATGATGGAGGCTGCAGGACAAAGTTCCTCCTCAGAATCTGAAGAAAGGTCTGGAGGAGAGCTAACCTCAACCTGCCTTTGGGCCTGGAAAGAACAGGGTTCCACATGTTTGGTCTTCTCCCTGGCCTTTCTGGGGGGTGGGGCAGTTGGACTCCACCCCCTTCCTCCATCGGAGTACCTGAAGTAGGCCTGCAGTTGGGCCTGTGTGTCTTAGTTGGTGGTGGAGCAGAGGAGACCCCATTGGTGGCCCTGCATTTGGAAGCCCTGGTGGGGAGAGGATCAGCCTGAGGGATTGAGGCCTGGTTGTCTGGAGGAGCCTGCGGGCCTTGATCTTGTGTGGCAGACATGGCCAGTAGTCACTGTGACACTCAAAATGGCAGCCGGAGGTTTCCTGCCAATTCAAAATGGCCACTGAGGCAGAAAGCCTCAGAAGGCAGCGTGACCGAGAAAGCCACAGAGAAAGCCACGGAGATGAAGGATGCTGCAGAAAGCTTCGGCTGCACCCCTGATGCTACAGTGGTGGCAGCGGGCATGATGGCAAGGACGGGGATGACAGCGATGGCAGTGGGGGCAATGGTGGTGGCAGCAGTGATGGCAGCGATGGCGATAGCGGCAGTGAAGGCGAAGGCTGAAGTGGCGGCTGCAGCAGCTGTAGCGGTGGCAGCGATGGCAAGAAAGGCCAGTCCCAAAGCCAGAAGGCTGGAAAGGGCTGCCTGATGGGCGGTAGCCTCCAATGGCCAGTGTCCAGCAGTGCCGCCGCCCAAGAAGCCCTGAGGAAAAATGAGGCACCTTGTGGTTCTTCTTTCCCTCAGCCTTGAAGGGCTGCAAAGCCCAGAGCTCCAGGAGGGAGCTGGAAGTCCGAAGTGAGATCCCCTGCCTAATTATTAGCAGGGGAAGCAAAAAACAGGTAATTTAATTTGAACATAGCCAGTTTAATAATTTTTTTCTTAATTTCTAGAAGCAGAGAGAGCAATCAGCACAGCTAGTCGACTGACTCTAAAAAAGCGAGAGGACACTCCTCAGACGCTATGACATCACTTTGGTAGACTCAGTCCATTGATTACTGGCTAAGTTAACCCATGCATGGCTGTGTCTCCACCAACTTTGGAGAAAGTAGTGTCTCTCTGTATATGTGTGTTACGTATATAGGGACTGGAATTTGTATTATATCAATAATGTGATTGTGATTTTTCTATGACTGTAATATTAGCATTCTTGTAATATTACAGCATAAAACAACTGGCCCTTAGCTGTTGAAAAGTTTCGTGATATTGCTAGATTTTTTTCCCCGTTGAAAATCTGAAAAAAAATGCAAGAGCTGAAGCAAGCAAATTTTCTTTTTCAGATATCAATGAATGTTCTCTTAGTGATAACCTATGTAGAAATGGGAAATGTGTGAATGTGATTGGAATGTATCAGTGTTCCTGTAATCCTGGGTACCAGGCAACTCCAGATAAGCAAGGTTGCATCGGTGAGTACTAGAAATTTTAAAACCTGACAATTTTATAATACTTTTTAATGTGTTCTTTTCAGAATTTCAACTTCATAAAAAATAAGATGTAGCTTCAAGATCTATAAAGCTGTGCCACCCTGAGTACACCTCAGTACAAAATTGCACTGTTAATTTTGTCAATTTAGCTATATTTTACATTCTAACTATAAAACTAAACTAAAGTTATCTAAACTATAACTTTAGTTTGATAAGTTATATACCAAAATATTGACTCCTAAAAGCACTTATGTTCTTCTGTTGATAGAGATAGGGATGAAATGTGAAAATTAGAGAATAAAAATGTAAAAATGCAGCTATTAGAAACAAAAAAAAGGGATGCTTTGTAAGGTACGTGTCTCATCTGTCCCAAATATACTCTCCTAGATATTGATGAGTGCATGATTATGAATGGAGGCTGTGACACTCACTGCAGTAATTCAGAAGGCAGCTATGAATGCAGTTGCAGTGATGGATATGCTCTGATGCCAGATATGAGGACTTGTGCAGGTAAGATAAATAAGTTTGACTTTATTTCTTATATTATATCCACCGAACAATTGAGAAAATATCAATATGGTTTTATAGTAAAGAGGCTTAGAGAATGAACCACGAACCATCAAAGTTAGAGTCAGGGTGATATAGTGATAAAGATGCTGGGCTAGAAATGGGTGGACGAAGGTTCTAACCTTCATTTTCTCACAGCCCAGCCAGCACATCGGGCAATTGTTCTGGAGGAAAATTGGAGGAGGGAATGTGATGTACATTAGCTTGAGCTAATTGAATAATAGAAATATAAATCAAATAAATAATGGTCACTTGTTAGATTTATATTATGCTTATTATATTCTATTATATAATAGAATTGCAGCCCAATTCTTTTAGTAATTTCCTTACTTGCCTTTAAGCTGTCACACTAGAATTTTAGCTTTGACAGTAAAATTAGTATGATTCTAACAAATGTGTGGTTCCAGTAAAGTACAACAAAGTAGCAGTATACACCAAATATCAGGTTAAAAAAATTAAAATACAGAAAGAAAGGACAATCTCTGCAAGTCTTTGCAATCTTTGCAACCTTGTATAGCATCAAATGGTGCTTTAAAAAAAACATGAAGAGATCTCTCTCCTATCTTTCTTTCTATTAAAACCTGTGAATTAGGAAATATTTAATTTAAACTTCTGAAAAGGAAAGTTTGCTTAATAGGTAATAGTTTCCTCACAAATTTCAGTCTGAGCATTAGAACTATTCATTTTCAACAAGAAACTCATGAGGGATATTTTTTTTAGGCATCAGAAAAATGAAATGAAGAATCAGGGAAAGTCAAGTCAGGAATGAAAATAGGCCATGGGTTAAATGCACAGACAGCCGTAGCTTCAGTTGCTTTTATCAAAATGACAAAAACAATGTCACACAGTCGACATACAAGTTCTGCTCTTTTGGAACATGCACATAACATAAAAAAATATATGTAGAATAGAAGTATTTTGCATGGTCTACTGGATTAGTGATTGCTTCATAAAAGGAATAAGGGAAGCATTTGTACAGTGTAAGAATCACTTCAGATTAGCATTGCCGGACCCAGGCAAAGGATTTCGGATGCCTAGATTTTAGAATAAAATAGAGATGATGGTAAAAACTTTATAGTAGTCCAAGGGAATAAGTAAATCCTATGGCAAAGTCACTGTGCAGAAATGTTAGGAAAGTAAAATATGCCTGGAAACAAGGGGATTTGGGGCACTTTAATACAGGTAAAGACTACAAAATGTTGACATTCTACTGTTATGCTGAAAAAAAATGTGTGCCCCAACAAATATTTCATAATAGATTATATAATGATGCATTTGAACTTTTCTTTTCCAATTTTATTACTGGGAAAAAGTTATCAAATTTATTTGGCAAATGAAAGATCAAATGTGATGATATTGAGTTTTTTTTTTCAGATATTGATGAATGTGACAGCAACCCAGATATCTGTGATGGTGGGCAGTGCATTAACATTCCAGGAGAATATCGTTGTCTTTGTTATGATGGATTCATGGCTTCGGTTGACATGAAAATATGCATTGGTATGTGAGATGGTTACAGATTTCAGAGGTTACTTTTTATAAGATACTGTTATAAAACACATACAAGTAGGGGAAATGAATTATAGTTTTTCTGTGCTTAAATGTAGTTTTATTTCAGATAGATTTGATTTCAGCCTGTGAAAATTCTGGGAATATAATATATTTTGATTTTATTTGTACTAATGATATTCTAATAAACTAATTTTGGATGGGAAGATGGCATATATGTTAAATTGATTCATTGCTGGTCATAGTTTTCTTGAATGGTTCCTCATCAAATTGAATAAAGATATCAAGTGGAATAGCATAGAAATTAGTGTTTGGCCTAGTATATTTAACCTTTTTATTTATAATTTGGATGAAAAAGCAGAAGGAATGCTCATCAGATTTGAAGTTCACATACCACTTAATGAGATGGCTAATAAGTAGGAGGCATATATTAAAAAAAATCTGCTGGAAAGATGCTTCAAGGGGTGCTTTGCTCTAATGTTCATGAAATAAAAGTGTCCATTTTATTCCATACCAGACAAAATAATAATATTATTGAAATGTGTTTGGGAATTGAAACTGATCAGAAACTGAATTTGGTTCTATTGTAAATTGTGGTGTAAAAGAACAATGCAATCTTAGATTTCAACAGTACAAATAAAGTTTCCAGTTCTCATGAAGAAAAAGTTACAATGCTGTATTGTTCATACTCCATTTCAACAGAGAGCTGTTCAGATGCCAAACTTAAAAAAGATTCAAAGAAGCTGGCATATGTTTAGAGCAGTAGAATTGGGGTAATAATGGCTATGTTTAGTTTTGATGTATGATAGTACTTTTCAGGTAACCAAAGGGTTGTTTCAATCATTATCCTAAAAGTGAAACACAGAATAAAGGTCCAATTCTATAACTCCCCACGGGATTAAATAATATGCTTAAGTAATTTATTAATATATAACAATTCTTTATTAAATGCTTTTGTTACTCAAGCTCTTTTAAATGTTAGCCAAAATATAGAAGACATTTTACTTTTTTATACAGATGTGAATGAATGTGATCTAAATTCGAACATTTGCATGTTTGGGGAATGCGAGAACACCAAAGGATCCTTCATTTGTCATTGCCAACTGGGTTATTCTGTCAAGAAGGGAACTACTGGATGCACAGGTATGATATTACAATACAAGCACAAACAAACTTAGATTTGCCTCCTTGGAGAGGTTCTGAACATTTTCCATTGTTATTGATTGGGCTTCCTTCTCATCCTACTAAAAAAAGGGATTCCACAAATAAGAGGTCATGCTGGTGAAGCTTAGTGTGAGCATGACTGATTCTAGATCAACTCATACAAGTTGAATAAAACCTATAAAACCTAGATGAGGGAGGGTGCACAAGTGATTCATGCAGTGCCATGCAACTGGGCCATGGCAACAAGTAATGCTAAGGGGGAGATGCAAGTGACTTGCTGGGATGACTTGTGACCTTCCCTGCCAGTTTCCCCCATTCTTTTTGATTGTAGGAAACAAGCAGGGAAAATCACAAATTCAGTCACATGATGGTGGAGTGCTGCAACTTTTATAAATGTGAGTCAACTGCCAAGGACTCAGATTGTAACTTTGAAAGGTCACTAATGAGTGGTCATTAACTGATGACTACCTGTAGCTGAAGTTGAAATCCCAGCGCTTCAAATTTCTGTACTTTGTTTTCTTTAAAAGCAAATGTATGCTCATCAGAAAAATCTTATAAGGAATTTTGATTTTCACATGCTTGTTTCTCACTCTTCTCATTCTTGCTGTACTTTCCATAGATATGATGACAGCAGTAGAAATCAGATGAATGTAAAATGCTTTCTATCAAATTTGTACATCAGTTTCTGTTCTTACCTTTAATTCACCCTTTCTTGCATGTAATTCAAAACACATAATTTTTAGTTTGTTTTGGAGGCTTTTTTGTATTTGATTTATTGATATTTTTATTGGAATTAAATTGTACCTCTTCTGTCATATCAGGAACTCCAAGAAAATGTGACACTGAGAGATGTGGCAGGTTTTCTTTTCATGTTATATTGGCTCCTTTATATATTTTGATACTTTTCTATGATTAATTGCTTACAATTTCCTGGCTCACTGTATTTCTTTCTTAGGTTTATAAAACTAATGTCCATTATTTTTAAATCTATATTAAATCTATGTTATGATTTATAGGCATTGTTTACAGCTATTTTATCAGTTGCAGACATTCTAAAGAGATATAATCATGGTACTTAAAGTATGTGGTACATTAAAGCCATTATCATTATTACCAACCTAGCTAACACTTAACAAGTTAATTGAAAGTTTTGATATTTTAATGTTTAACATTTCTTTGTTTAGATGTGGATGAATGTGAGATTGGTGCCCACAATTGTGACATGCATGGTCTGTGTCTCAATGTTCCGGGAAGCTTCAGATGTAGCTGTAAGGAAGGATGGATTGGAAATGGAATTAAGTGTATAGGTGAGTAAAGATAAATTGATATGATTGTTTGCCTCATAAAAAAGTAAATGTAAGTTATGTGTTTCTTTTATAATTGATTCTATAGGTTGTCAATAAGACAACTAGCTAACTGACACCACAGTAACAGAATCAGTTGTATATATACTGTTAGGAAATGGTTCTAAAAGAATTTCAACAAATTTCTGATAGAATCTCTCCTCCCCCAATTTGCTAAATCAAATGCTTCCATTTTACATATTGAATGTATTGGTTATTTTCAGAGAAAAAATTATAAACTATCATCTAGAACTTTATATTTATAGAATTTAAAAAGATAATTTCAGACAATGATCTTCACTGTCAGCTTTAAATTCATTACCAATTCCCAATATAGCTTAGGCTGTGTATTTATGCAAAAATTAAAATGTAGCTCTGAGAATTTCAGTAAACCAATCTCATTATCTCCCCACTCCCAAGATAGGAATCAATTATATCTATTATTTTTTTGCAGTATCTTCTCTCCAATTTCAGATGCTCTTTTGGTTCGAAATCTTCCTGCCCATACCAGTATTTTAAAAGTACATCTGTATATTACACTATTATTAACTTTTCAAATATAACCATTATCCGTAAGACAATCTGTGAAACTTGAATGATCTCTAGTGTTTCCCTGAGAGGGTACCACCTTATGGAATCATAACTATTCTCATAGTTCGCCAAATGTTTTATGGCCTTTTTAGAAAACCTGAGATAGCATTTAACCAATTCATCGATTTTCTGGTGTTTCAATAATAAATATCAAGCTAAACTGTTTGCTCTTTCAAGAGAATTATATCATAGTGATTGAAGCCAGTACTAATAGCTTTTAAGCCAACTTCTGCTAGCAATTTGCTTCTGTGAATTCCATAAAGCCAAATAATGGATACTATTAGCATGTTTATGATTTTTCTCTTTCTTACTAATTGCTTTAATAGATCTCGATGAGTGTTCTAATGGAACACACCAATGTAGCATAAATGCTCAGTGTGTAAATGCTCCTGGATCATATCATTGCACCTGTGCAGAAGGATTTACTGGAGATGGATTTATTTGTTCAGGTAAGAGAAAGTTTAAACATATTTTATGAAAGAATTATATTTAATTTAGAAGTTGAATTCAGAACTTCATGTGACAATGGATCGATTCAGCATTTACTTTTATGTGAACCTTAATATGGAGTTTCATCAAAGTCCTAAATTTTCTGATACATCATTTCAAAATATAGATTATTTTGAAAATAGTGTATATATTTCTTGGAGAATAAACTTTATTTTTTCTACTAATAAATTTAAGAAAAAGCGAATGAAATGAATTTCTAATCTATAAATGCTTACTGCTTTAACATTTCCGATTCAATAGATATTGATGAATGTGCAGAAAATATTAACCTGTGTGACAATGGACAATGTCTTAATATCCCTGGTGAATACCGTTGTGAGTGTGAGATGGGCTTTACTTCAACTTCCAATAGCCGAACTTGCCAAGGTAATTCTAACCTCATTTTGAGTAGCTGGATTGCGACTGAGTAGTGGCTCAGCAGTTAAGACCCTGGGCTTGTTGGTTGGAAAGCCGACAGCCCAGATTCAAGACCCAAGTATCTCATGATGGGATAAGCTCATGTCCTTATCCTAGCTCCTGCCAATCTAGTAATTCGAAAGCATGCAAATACCGGTAGCTAAATAGGTACCACTTTGGTGGGAAGGTAAGAGTATGTTGGCTCATGACAGCAGAAATGTCTTTGGACAGCACTAGCTCAATGGCCCTTGAAACAGAGATGAGCACTGTGTCTATTGTCAGCAACAACTAGTGGAGTAAAATCCACAGGGATAACCCCCCCCCCTTTTTTTTTTGAGAATTTGGATCAGATATGAGGAGGTAATTTCCAAGTACTAACAGAGCTTTTGTGGGATTCAGAATATATGATTTACATATAAAGCTAGCTGTTTCTTTCAAGCAAAATGTCTGCATGTTAGATGTTTGCACTAGATGGATAAAATGTTGCATTAAACAGTCAATTGGCTATTTTTGTCAATTAACAAATAGAGTGTAGAAAAAAATGTTCTAGATACACCATTGTATGTATATGGAAATGTATTACATTAATAGGGATCTTACAGAAGTAAACATAAGAATTTTGTATTTGTGATAATATATTTTTCAGTAGATTTCAAAGTAAAATGAATGATTTAATTTAGTGACATGGCTGTGGTCTTTCATGATTCATTTGCATTATATCCATCATGTTTATCTCTGCTATGATATTTTAAATTTATTATTGCAGCTCCAGTTGCATTATTGTTTTTATTGCAGTCTTTATTTTAGCACTGTTGATAAAAATTGATTTTATCAATTATTTTGGCATGCTGTTTAAATTTTTCATTTTTTTATTTAGCTGTTTTGAATGGAAAACAATATGCAATATGACTACAATGTGATATGCAAATGTTTTGAAATGATCTCCATTAAATGTTCCCATTATATACAAATATTGTATTCTAAGATATATACATTCTCTTCTGCAGATCCAATCTGGCTTGGTCACTGGGAGCAGAGGTTTTGTTTTCCAAGTTTTAGGATTAAGGCTATAGCCCATCTTCAGGGAACTTCTCTCTGGCAGAGTATGACATTTCCTAAGTATAGGCTGTAGCACGAGTCCAAAAACTCGGAAGACAAAATCTCTGGTCCTAGTGATGGATCCAGATTGGATCCTGCAACATTATCCTGGGAATACGTATATTTGTCTTCATTCATGACATTATCTTCTTATTGTATAATAAAATTAATAGAGCCAACTTTCTCTCAGTAAAACACAGGGAACCATATACATATAAGATTTAGACCTTTCAAATATAGGTTTGCATTCTATGAATTAATAGGAAATAAATTATTGGGTGTATGTATTGTATTCATACATAGTAACTAATCATTTTGGCTATTATCCTTTGTTTCAGATATTGATGAATGTGCCTTTCAGAATATATGTGTGTTTGGTACTTGCAATAACTTACCTGGCATGTTTCACTGTATTTGTGATGATGGCTATGAACTGGACAGAACTGGAGGAAATTGTACAGGTAAAAAAATATGTCTCTGGGTGTGGTAGGTGTATATATGGAAGTATGTGTATAACCAATCCTCTATGTAAAGAGGTCAAAACAGGAACATTACTGAGACAAAGAGAAAATTATTATCACTGGACTACTGTTCATTGATTTTTTTTTTCAAATGGACTGTTAGCAAATATTTCCAAAAATACAAAATTACATATTCTTCCTATGAACAGATTAGGTAAAAGCTATAATGATAAACAATCTTAAAAAGAAAAATGCCAGCATAAAAAAGTTATATGTACTAAAGCAGTGTTTCTCAACCTTGGCAACTTGAAGATGTCCGGACGAATGCTGGCTGGGGAATTCTGGGAGTTGAAATCCGGACATCTTCAAGTTGCCAAGGTTGAGAAACACTGTACTAAAGTATAATTACATATATATCTTATAATAATATTATAATAGCTATGAAATTCAAGTATATTTTATATAATTAGACATTGGTTAAAAGAAAGAATTCTGACTTCTTTTTTCATTATGCTATTCATTGCTAGAGTATGAGTGGTGCCATGGCCGAGTGTGAGGACACTCCCCTCCCACTCAGAAGGTTGAGAATTCAAAGTTAAGACGCAAAGAGAAAATATCTGCAGCAAACTCCACATAGGCATCAGAAAGGGCATCTGACCAGTAAACATTCAGCTTCATTGAGTCACCCTGAGTCCACCCTATAAAAAAGGATTATAGGGTCATAAAAATAATTAAAAAATAATAATTCCTAGAATATAGCCATGAAATCAAAATATAATGCAATGAAATGCTGATTGGTTCAGTATTTCAGAAACTGTTGAGATTAATAGGTTGTGTTCAGTAAACAGTTAAGAAGGAAGTGTGTTTATTTTTTATTATGAAAAAAACCGAATGAACTGATTATAAAGGCTTAAGATTAATTTCAGATACATGTTTTTTACTTTAGATATTGATGAGTGTGCTGATCCTATAAATTGTGTCAATGGCTTTTGTGTAAATACTCCTGGAAGGTATGAATGTAACTGTCCTCCAGATTTCCAGCTGAACCCTACAGGAGTTGGCTGTGTTGGTATGTAGAATTACACATATAACTATTTTATACAAGTGGAGAGGAAAGATTACCATATGGATGTTGGTATGGAGACAAGAACAAAACTGACAACAAATGTTTCATGATGCAGATGATTCAAATTCATTAAATGTGCTAATCCAGTGGGAATGGCTGGCAAAATGGTTAATTTCTAAAAGTGAAGCATTGTGTTCAGATTGGTTCTTGAGGAACAAATTAACAAGTAGGAAAATAGCAGGTTATAAGGCAACCAGAAATAACCATAATTATAGTTTATGACTGCACTGTAATTGAACTAAAATCTAAAAGAACTAAAAAACTAAAAAAATATATTATTCTGCGCTTAAAATACTATACATTTCAGTATGTTATATATGCTTGTGTTATAAACACAGCTTTATTACATGGTGTGTTTTGTAATATGCCTGATGACTTTACTTGAATAGAATAGAATAACAGAGTTGGAAGGGACCTTGGAGGTTTTCTAGTCCAACCCCCTGGTCAGGCAGGAAACCCTATACCATTTCAGACAAATGGTTGTCCAATCTCTTCTTAAAGTGTTGGAGAATTCACAACTTTTGGAGGCAAGTTGTTCCACTAGTTCATTGTTCCAACTGTCAGGAAAGTTCTCCTTAGTTCTCGGTTGCTTCTCTCCTTGATTAGTTTCCATTCATTGCTTCTTGTCCTGAACTAGTGGAACAACTTGCCTCCAAAAGTTGTGAATTCTCCAACACTTTAAGAAGAGATTGGACAACCATTTGTCTGAAATGGTATAGGGTTTCCTGCCTGAGCAGGGGGTTGGACTAGAAAACCTCTAAGGTCCCTTCCAACACTGATATTCT